CTGAAACTTGTGTGTAGCCACTCTAAACTATACATTGCTACATTGAGGGTTTTCCCTGGGCCCTAACCTAAGTGCAGTCAGCAATACTCTCATACCCTGTCACAGATGAGTCAGCAAGTAATTGCTCATGCCCAAATAAACATTGATTCTTCATTCGGGAGTATATTTTATGTATACACAGAAGCATAGTCACCATGCAAGTGTGTGAAACACCTAATGCATGTAAAAAGCATGAGATCGCCTAAAGTGATGTATTCATTCAGCATTTATTATATATTTTATTTGCCACATGCTAAAGTAGGTGCAGAAGTATATAGATAACTATGGACCCTTGCTTCAAGGGATCCAAAGATTAGTGAAAACAGACCTGTTTCAACAGGTCATAACAGTTGCCTCCACTGAGCACACTAAACACGTTAGACACTATGCTAAATTTTATATAGATTGAGCATTCTTAATCCAAAATACTCTAATACCTCAATGGCTTCATATGTTGGAGCATTTTGGATATCATATGTTAAGACACAAAAATTGAAATCAGTTTTACTTAGTGAAGATGCAGAGTAATGAGTTTTGTCTAAAGAAGGAGTAAGCATTTTCTAGGCCAGAGTAGACAAGGAAAGATCTCATTCTAGATAGTGAAGGCATGTTCAGACACTGGAGTAATGATAAACCATTGTGTTGGGAAATCCACCAAGAAAACATGTCGAAGGAGCACTGACTACAGATGTTAGCAGAAAGGAAGAGAGTCCCAGAAGATGAGGTAGGAAAAAGTCACAAGAAGACTTCCCTGACAGCTAAAAGTGTTAGATGTTACCCAATAATCTGAGAGTGGGTAACTTACATGATGAGATCTAGAAAATCACACTGGTGGAGAGGTGTGTGTGGTACCAGTGCTTAAAGGAGAGTAGGAGTTGAAAATTCAAATTTGGTAATCACCAGTGCTTATTATTTCTGTGTGTTAGCTGAGTGAAAGTGAGTTAGAGAGGGGAAACTGAGTATGGGGTCCCACATGTGTAATCCCAGAACTCAGGACACTGTGAGGTCTGAGGGCAGCCTTGCAGACAGTGAATAGCCAAATTGAGCTGTCTCAAAAGAGAGAGTGAACCAATGATACAACCCTTTGTAAAAACTGGGGTTTCTTTGTAAATACAATGTTTAAGATAAGTCTAGGGGAGAATATGCAAGATGCTATGAAAGTTAAGTGAAGTGGGGTGAATGCAGAAAAAGCTGTCTTGAAAAAAGAGAAACAAGCCAGTTATCTTCATGCATGGTGAGACAAACACATCCACTGAATTTTGGCTGAGATAATTTGATCATCTTGGCAAAACTTTCTTCAGGAAGCTGAGAAACAGTATTCTGGTTTCATTCCATTGCTGTGACAAATCACACTGACCAGAAGCTGCTTGTGGAGTTGAGGATTTATTTGATGTGTCCTTGCAGGTCACAGTACATCATCCAGGCACCTCAGGGCAAGAACTCAAGGTGGCAACCATGGAGGAACTGCTTCAGCTAACTTTCTGATTTCATATAACCCAGGCCCACCTGCCTAGGGATGGTACTGCTCGCAGTAGGCTGGACCCTTCTACGTCAGTTAATAACCAACAGAGTCCCCCACAGACATGCCTACGGGACAATCTGATCTAGGCAGTTCCTCAACCGAGGCTCTCCACATCAGATGTCTGTGGGCTGTGTCAAGATAACAACTAAAGCTAACTAGGACACCGAGATAGTAAATTTAGTCAAGAAAACTGACCTCATAATTATAATCCTTATTTAAAAATAAAGTAAATTTTCTCTTTATTCAGATGACATGTCAATATTCCATTATTTTAGCATGAGTAAAGGAAAACTGTGAGTCATAAGGAACAAAGATATTATTACCATAATACCTAAAAAAGCATAAAGCAGATTCAAAACTATTTGAAAACTAAGAATAATTTTTATATTTATTCATTGCTTCATTTATAAAGATTAATGAGTTTCTACCGTGTGTCAGTATGCTAAACACTAGAAATTCAGTAGTGAGCAAAATAAGACAACCCTATTGTTTTTATGGCATTTGATCTATTTTATCTATAGAAATATAACAGGATGGTATTCTAAAGCAAGATCATTTGCAGGGTAAAAATTGTTTAGGTTTGTATTATATTTTTCTATATTTGATTTTGCTTTTTTGAGACAGGGTCTCATGTATGGCTTCAAGTTTACAATGTAGCCAAGTATGACCTTGAATCTCTGACTGTCCTGCCTCCACCTCTGAGTGCTGAGATTACATGTGTGCCACTGACCCTGTTTATGCGGTACTGGGATGGGACCCGGGTTTTGTGTGTGGTAGGAAACCTGTCAGCTGAGCCACATCCCTGACCTGGCTTAGCACTAGTGTGTTCTTTTCTGCTTGATTCCAGACAATTAAGTATTATTCAGTAATGAGACACTCTTTTATCCCTATTTTCCTTTCAGAATGTTCCAGAGAATTTACATACAATGGCAGAGCGTAATCTCCTGCTTCATTTGAAAAAACTAGAAAAAGAAGGAAAAATATGTATGTATACTTCTGAATTTCAATGCATTTACTACTAGCATTTAAACATTTTGCAGGGGCACGGTTTCTTTTTGGGGGAGGTGGGTCAATACACTTTATTCAGAGACTTGGGGAAAAAGGCTGGAGAAGTCGACGCTGTCCGCCATCCTCCACTGGGCAGATCTTGAGTCTACCCATCACTAAGAGCACATGGTTTCTTTTTAGTTAAAACAGCACCCAGCTGAGTTCTCTCTTAAATATCACATTCAATAGAGAGAGATAAACACGAGGAAGTAGGGTCCTAATCCTCCTGCCATAGTGACAGTCAAAGTGTGCATCAGGAGGATGGCCTTTTCTAGATGTTAAGATCAGGAAGTGTGGTACACTTTTAAAACGGGCACAGTCCTTAAGTGCTAGTAGAATTAGTGATGTCAGAGATAGTAAAATACTCTATAACTATTTCCTAACGGTAGATTAATTTGTCAAATCAGGCATTTTTATAAATGTTTAGTCATTAAAATCAAGAAGTTCTCCAAAGCTTGAATTTTGTATAGAAGCCTCAATTGTACACATCAGCAAAATTCCTTTATGGGATGTGCACTTTTTCTTATTATAAAATAACTTAAAATTGAATTCAGTGACTATACTTAGCTTTTGTTTTTACTTTCTGGTTTTCTTTCTACAGTTTACATCACAAATCCTGACAAGAAGTGGAAAGCTGTACTTTAGTTTCAGATGAGTGAAGCTCTATCTTGTTTTGCTTTTAGAGGATGGTATGTTCTTTTAGCTATAGATTATTTATAGAGACTATCAAATGTGGGATTTTGAAAATAAACTTGATATCTTTCTAAAATATGTAAATTACATTGTACATCTGTAGGTTATTGATCTAACCTTGGCCTTGGAACATTTTACCAAAAGTTCAGAACCTAGTACTTTGTCATTTTCCTATGGAATAAGTAAAATGGTTACTTAAGAATAATAAAATTTGCACAATTCAAACCAGTTACTACATTAGAGTTTGGTTACATATTATCATTTTCCAGTAATACTGTTTTCTTTAGCTACTTCAATCAACAGCACAGATGTCTGCATACTCCTTCCTTTTCTTCAATCCTTTGTATACCTTTTACATACCAAATTTATTTCATGTTTCTATCAATTTTATCATTTAAGTGTTGATTCTACAGCTCTGTTATGTTTGTTTTCTTATAATGGTATCCCATCATAAGTTTATCATTAAAAATATTAAATATACCAACCTGAAATACTATGTGATTAATAATAATTATTTTCTAAAGATTTATTTATTTTTATTTTATGTGTGTGGGTATTTTGCCTGCATGGGTGTCTGTGTGCTACATGCATGCAATGTTTAGGGAGGCCAGAAGAGGGCATTGGATCCCCTGGAACTGGTGTCATAGAAGTTGTTAGTCACCATGTGGGTGCTAGAATCAAACTTTATTCCTCTGAAACAATAATCAGTATTCTAAACTACTGAACCTTCTCTCCAACCCCTAAGTAAGTATTTTTGTAATCCATTGATTGGTACAACTAACATGCTTTACAAGGTGAGAGTTTAGTATTAGTACAGAAATAGTCATCAGTTCATATATGAATTATATACCAGAAAGTGTTTCCTTTTAATTAGAAGAATGTAAAGTAGGACTTTCAAAAATACAAATAACATTCTTAAGTACTGGTTAGATTCATGGTGCTATGTAGTGATTTCCTCAAAATTGAAACATTCAGTTCTGGAGGGAGGTTTCTAAGACTCAGGAAGTAAATAACTTGAAAGTCTCAGAAAGTCCCTGAAACAAATAATTCACTAAGTCCCTTCCCAGGGTTATCTAAGCAATAATGATTGCTGGGGAGAAGAAACTTTCTCACCTCTTGAGCTGCCTACAAGTGATACAGGGGAGCTCCAAGAACACAGCCTTCACGGCTGGAGTGGGCTTTTCAATAATGCAGCTGCCTTTGAGGCACCCATGTGCCTATAAGGAAGCCTTCACCTACCTTACTGTAAGTAACCCCAGTAAACTCAATGGTTCATTAAGCGAGGCTTCCGTAAAATCTTTTGTCTATCTTTCTCTTCCATTCTGGAGATCACATCTCTACAGAAAATCTTGTATGGTACAATATAATTCAGCAATGCTTAATTGACCCATACTGGTGCCAAGCAGTAATATTAAAGTAAACTCAGAATTCTAATTGTATATTTTTCTTATTCTTCCTTTAAAGCAAGATTTCAATTTATAAAGAAAATGATCTTTAGCATCTTGACCTTCTGTCCCTTTTCTCAAAGATCCTAGCATTTTTATGCTACCTTAACACATGTGTTCTTGTTCTATGGAAATAAGTGTTCCATACTACAAAATAACTACATAAACTGGCTGGGCGTTGGTGGTGCATACCTTTTATCCCAGCACTTGGGAGGTAGAGGCAAGTGCATCTCTGTGAGTTCAAGACCAGCCTGGTCTACAAGAGCTAGTTCTAGTACAGCCTCCAAAGCCACATAGAAACCCTGTCTTGAAAAACCAAAATAAAAAAATTAAAAATTAAAAAAAAATCCTATAAACTGAACAATTAAAAGCCAATGACTCAATTCACAAATGGACACTTTCTCCAAAGAAGATACCTACATGAAACGATGTTTAGCATCACTAATCAATACAAATCAAAACCACCGGATACTGCTTCCTGCCCATTTGGATAGCTGTTGTTTTCCAAAAATAAGAAGAGAACAGCTGTGGAGGTGTGGAGACTACAGCTGACAGGGTGGTAAATTAGGTGGCCCTCCTCAAAAGATAAAAGAGAATTTCAGTGTGATTGAGCATTCAGCTTCTGAGAATCATTCCAGAAAGCTGACTTAATGGGGCAGGGGGGGGCACATCTTAAAAACAAAGGAAAATCAGACATATGCTGCACCGTGCATGAATTCCAAAGATATAACACTAAGTGCAATAAGACACCAAAAGACAAATACCGTGATTCCACCTGCATGAAGCACCTTCAGTAGTCAAATTCATAGAGATGAAAAGTAGAATGGTGAATGCAGTGATTCGGAGGAAAAGAAATGGTGAATTACTCAAGTGTCAGTAAGGAACAACGTTAAAGGTTCTGGGCATGAATGGTGATGCCATGTGGTGTCCCTAAAATAATCGGTAATCATCATAATTGTCCTCCATAATAACTACCACCAAAAAATAAAAAATGTGAACCCCTATCAATACACTTTAGACAAAGAGAATATAATTTTATTGGAATGTGTAATTAGCTTACCTCTTACCTTACTTCTCTTCTTTCTCAGAAGGTTGAGTAAAAATTAGTCAGATCAGAAAGCAAAACAATCATTCTCAATCTGTATCCATTGCCCATGTCCAACTCTTCGATGTCTGGAATTCTCCAGAATTCATCACTCTTACCCAGTCTGTGCTGCTCAGTCCTAGCCACCATCCTTTCTTCCTGTATCAGTAAAATGCCTGTTAACTCTTAGCTCCCTCTTCCGTTCTTCAGAAAGTTGGGGAAGATAAAAAAGGGCATTCTAAGTTGAGGAAATCTCTATTTTTTGTTTTTTCAAGACAGGGTTTCTCTGTGTAGCTTTGGAGGCTGTCCTTGAACTCACTCTGTAAACCAGGCTGTACTCGAACACACAAAGATCCGCCTGCCTCTGCCTCTGCCTCCTGAGTGCTGGGATTAAAGGTGTGCACAACCACCGCCTGGCTAAAAATCCATACAATTGTTACATTGTCATAGCACACAATACTGCACATTGCAAGTAGATCTTTTCAAAGAGGGGGAGGGATGGGAGGCCACTGAATCTATTAATCATTTAAGGAGCCTGGCAACAGAGCTCTAGCAAAAGCAGTGACATATATTAAATGCTTTGTGCTGGGTACTGTGCCAGATACTGAGGACACTAAGGTGAACAGGACAGCATCTGGACCTCAGAGTGAGCTCATCGTCTTGTTGTCAAGACAATATGAGGACTGTTATGTTTGTTTGGAACAAAGGAAGAATATATAACCTGGCTGGGTTATAGAAGGCTTCTAAAGGAAGCCTGAGTTTAGTCTATACAAAGTAAGAGGTAGCCACATGAAAATGCAGTATTTGTTTAGATAAGAAAAGTTGTTCCAGTGCACATAAACAGAGAAAGGCATCCTGTGGTTGAACTAATTTATATAACCAGAATATATGGTGTTTGTGATTGAGGTCACAGAGCTAATGAGAATCTCATGAGAACACTGAAATCATAGGAACCAGTGTACTAGGGTCACAGATAATGGGGCCTAGCTGTAATTCCAGTGGTACTCAGCAGGATGAAGCTAGAGGGTTTTAGTTTAAGCTTAGCTTGGGCATATAGCGATTCCCTGTTTCAAAAATAAGGGAGAGTGTTTGTGTGTGTTCATTGTGTGTGTGTGTGTGTGTGTGTGTGTGTGTGTTCATGTATGTATGTGTGTGTGTGTGTGTATAACTCATGCTTTGTACAATGGACCACAGTAATCTTTAGATGTAGGCAATACCTTCCAATACCTCTAGTGGTTATCAGTTCATACCACATATGGCATTGAATCCTACACTCACACACACACACACACACCTATAATAAAGTTTGATTTATAAAGAGATTAGTAACAATGACTA